CTCACTCCTGGGCATATATACCTGAAGGGAACTCTAATTCAAAAAGATACATGTGCCCCAATGTTCATGGCAGCAGTATTTACAATAGCCAAGACACTGAAACAACCTAATTGTCCATCGACAGATGACTGGATAAAGAAGATGTGGCATAGACACACACACATACACACACACACACACACGAATACTACTCAGCCAATAAAAAAGAATAAAATAATGCCATTTGCAGCAACGTGGATGGACCTGGAGACTGTCACACTAAGTGAAATAAGCCAGAAAGAGAAGAAGAAATACCACAGAATATCACTCATATGCAGAATCTAAAAAAAAATGACACAAATGACTTATTTATAAAACAGGAACAGACTCACAGACATAGAAAAAATAAACCTGTGGTTACCAGGGGAAAGCAGGGGTGAAGGGATAAATTGGGAGTTTGGGATTTGCAGATATTAACTAGTATATATAGCATATAATGGAAAAGAATATGAAAGGGAATATATATCTATATAAAACTAAATCACTAGATTCTGATTCTTTACACCAGAAATTAACACAACACTATAAACCGACTATACTTCCTTCAATTAAAAAAAAAATACTGAGTTTAGACAGTGGCTATGAAAGACTAAATGAGGCCAAACCTGTGTATACAATTTGAGTTGATGCTTTCTGGGTTAAACAGAGCTTTCTTACACAGAAAATAACTCCAAACCCTGGCTACATCTCAGCCCCATCAGTGGACTGATCCTAACTGCCAACAAGGCAGTGAGCCTTCAAATTTCCTAATAAGGACTTTCACTCATACTAGTTCTATGCAGTGCCTGATGCCCCAAATCCTACTACAACCAACCTCTCACCATTCCCCCACCAGAACATCTCAAGGGAGCAAAACTGAGTGAGAAACTGAAGGGTTTGAATGGGAAAATGGGATTCCTAACAAGGATTTCAATTTCCACATATATTCAGAACCTCTTACCCTTAGTTATTTTCTAGATTTGGAGTAAGTTATTAGGAGAGATGGTAGACAGCCCTTTAAATGAAGAAAGTCACTTTGTCCTGAAGTCTCTAAATCTGTTGAACCTTCCAGTGTTGCACACCCTCTCTGTTCTTTTCTGTAGCATGATTTCCTTTTTAACATATGCTTTATTTGTATGAACCTGGGCTGATCATAAAATGAACAATTCTAACACTGGCTAGAATTGCTGTGCTAGCCGCAAAGTATAAACCCCCTTATAAGTAGCTTAAAACAAAACTAGTGGTCCCAACTAGCTACAGATTTCCCTGACCTCTAATCCTTGGTGAAAGTAGTTTGGGAGAAACCAGTTTTTACCATTCAAAAGAAAATCTCTGTTCTACTCTACCAATTGTTTTAACACAGAACAAAATAACCATGCCATTAAAAAGTCCCACCTTCAAAAAATAAACACTTGTAAGTCTTCATTTTTTTATCTGCTTGACCTGCCAAATTCTGAGAAGAGAGTTAAAAACTCTATCTTAAACTGTTGCAAGTTCTTGTATTTCCCTACACAAACTCTAGCACTTGTTATTTGTATATTTTAAAGCTATTTTGTTAATGAACATATATTCCATGATTATTAAAGCGTCTTCAAAAATTATAAATTTTTAACTGATAACATACATAAAAGAAAATTAAACAAATATAGAGTTAAACACAATTATAAAGTGAACAGCATATAACTAAAACTGAGATCAAGAAATAGAACATTGCAGCAAACCTGAACCAACCTCCCCATATTTATTATCAATGAAAACTGAAAGAAATAAAAGAAAAAAGAAAAAAAAAGAAATAATCAAATCTTCTCTCAGGAAATTAAGTATCCAGCAAACAGTAAGGATATGGAAGATTTAAACAAGATTAATGTATTCTACCTAACTGATATTTATACAACATTGCACAGCAAATTTCAAAGACTTAAAATTATACAATGTATATTCTGTCACTCCTCTGGAATCATAACTCAAAAACAGAAATATAACTAACCCCCTACCCCAAATATTCAGGGATTGAGCAATGAACTTCTAAAACCATAGATCAAAAAAATCATGATGGAAATTTAAAATCATATTGGAAATCACACTGTATTTTGTGCAAAACTATAATGGAAATATGACATATCAAAACTTGTCAGATGTAGCTAAAGCTGCTTAGAGGAAAAAGTACAACCTTATAGCACATCTGAAAAGAGCCAGAAATCAGTGCTCTAACTATCTCTCTCAAAAAGACAGAAAAAGAACAGCAAGTTAAAACCAAATACAGAAGACAATGTTAAAAGATAAGACAAATTAAAGAAAAAATAAATCTACCACAGAAAAATTCAAGTCAAAAGTTAATTCACTGGAAAAAAAGTTAATTCACTGAAAAAATAACAGGATTGATAAACCTCTAAGCATGACAAAAAATGAGAAGTGCAAATGATCAATATAATAATAAATTTGAAAAATTAGATGACATGAATGAACCCATCAAAACTGACATATCTATATAGAAAATCCAAATAGTCCAATTTCAGTTAAAGAAATTAAATATGTAATTTAAAACTCCCTCTAGGAACCCCCAGGTCCAAATGGCTTCCCCAATGAAATATAAGTATATAAGGAATAAATAATAAAAATCTAATCAACCTCTTTAAGAAAAGAGTAAGAGAGGAAACATCTCCCTCTTTTTATGAAACCAGCATAACCAAGATATCAGAATCTGATCAGGGTGTTTTAAGTAGGAAAATTACAGGCCAATTTCTCTCAAAGATCCAACACACACACACACACACACACACACACACACACACAGAGCAAACGAAGTCCAACAGTACATAAAAAGGATAATACATTCCAACAAAGTTGGCTTATTTCAGAAATGCAAGTTTAGTTTCACATTTGAAAATATATCAGTGTAATTCAATACATTAACCAAGTAAAGGAGAAAAGCCATGAGTGACTCCAAAGATGTTGACAAAGCATTTTATTAAAATCCAACACAATTCATGATTTTAAAAGTTAAATTATCAAAATTACTGGGTATGAGGTCAATGAATTGAATTCAATTATATTTCTAACTATTAGCAAAAAATAATTACAAAGTGAAATTTAACAAACAATTCTAATCAAAATTACATAAAGAATATCACATACCGAGGGATAAATCTGTTGAAAGATGTATAAATTCAGCCTACTGAGTGGAAACTGTGAAACATTAGTGGGTTAAAATTATAAAGCCCTAAATAAATGGAGGAATATACCATGTTCATGGATTGGCTGACTCAGTATTATTAAGATATCAATTACCTACAAATTGATTTGGGTTTCAGTGCAAACTTAATCAAAATGCCAGGAGATGTACGGATACTGGATGTGGGTGTGGCTTTTTAAGAGTAAAGAAAAACTGAAACACTTATTCTAAAATCATATGAAAATATAAAGAGCTAAGAACATAGGAGGAAGAGGGAGGAAGCTGGAGTAGATAAACTACCAGATACTGAGACTTCTTCAACTGAAGTAATTTAAGACAATGTGCTATTGACACAAGGAGAGACAAATAAACCAATGGAACAGAAGGGAGTCCAGAAATATACTCAAACTTACAATGATTTATGAAAAACAGAATACCTTGGGAAAAAATTCCATGTAGAAAGATTTCATTCAAATTTTTAATATATTTTCTGATCAATGATACTAATTACAACAGTAAGTAAATAATATTTTCGTTAAATTCTCTCAAAGACTGTATCAAATAGCTTATAAAACAATTATCAGATCTTCTATAAAATCTTTCTCTTACCTCTCCAAAAGCCCCTCGACCAATCACCTTTAATATTTCAAAGTCTTCTCTATGTAATCGCATCTGTTTCACTTTAGAAGTAAATGGTTTAGCTGAAACAAAAAGGCAACAGCAATTACTTTCTGAATGAAATGTACTATAAATTAGATATAAATGTCTTACTTAAACAGTAAAAATGCAAATTATCACTGAGAATTAAGCCAAAGTATTTAATAATCTCATCAAATTATACTGAGAAGAAATAGATTTAATTTCCATAAAATGTTTTCCTTTATTTCTTATACATGAATTATATTTTTGGTAAGAAACATATTTTTAAACACCAAATAACTTAAGAAATAATGCAAAGTAGCGGTGATGTACAAATGAGAACAGTTTATTCTCAGGTTAAACATTCCATGTATTCTAACTCAATGCTAGTTATATATTTTAACACAAAACTCCAAGAAGCAAAAGCAAATTTCCTGACACCAGAGAGATTCAGCAATTACCACCAAGTAAATTAATATTTCTGTCACACTCATTCATTTATTTATCCTTTTAATATGCCTTTAGCAAGAATCTTCATTATACAAAGCATAGTGGCAATTATTAGGGTTCAAAACAAATATGATTACAATATGGTACCTTCTTTCAAGAAGTTCTCAGTCTTCAGAAAAGACATACAGTATGCACACACATATAATTTAACAATGTGATAAAAATTTCTAATAGAGATCAATATAAAGCACTTCAGGATCAGTGAACGTGAAGCCCTAATTCTCTTACGTGAACAATAATGCTTCAGAGAGGAAGTAATATTAAAACTGGAACTTGAGGACTAAGTAGACTTTTGCTAATTTGCCTGGGTTTGTAGTGTAGATATTCCTGGCATAGGGAGCAATATAATCAAATGAAGAGGTAAGAAAGTGAACCTGGGTGATAATGGTAAAAAATCCATCGTTGCTATGGAATTATTTTAAAAAATGCAAAGAAATCAGGGCTGGAAAATGTAAATGGCCTTGGATACCACGCAAGGAATTTAGACATTATCTTATTAATCATAGGGAATATACTGACATTTTTTTAAATTATAAAATCAATTATATGTTCTGTTGCTGCTAAGAGAAATTTAGACCTGTCTCCTTTCCTCCCCTCATGTTCCTCCTTATTCTCACAGAAAAAGGAGTTAATATGATTAAAAAGTCATTATCTACAGGTATAGCTTTCTTCTCCTTACCATGGAGCCAGAGTATCACAAGATCAAAGATAGGTATTTGAGCATTAGGAGAGTGAGACACAGCAGGCCTTATCACTTGCTTTGGTCTACAAGTATTTAGCCCTAACTAGTCTAGAAAAGAAGGGTATTCCACATTGGAAAACCAGTCTACTAGAGATTTCTGCACTGGTGTTTTAGACTATAAGAAAAAGAAATCGAGATTGGATCTCTATTTGGAATTCACACAACAGAAAAGAAGATCAAAGACACAAATCAAATTTGAATGAAAGCATAAAGGATCTCATACTGTGAAAGAAGGCATAAAACGATGGTAGCCAGGAAATGAACACTTTTGATTAAATGACCAAGGCATCTTGGTTTTGGACAAACTGGACATACTGTGAGGCTGTGGTGACTGGGAATTAAGTCAGGGTCCTAATAGGAAATAAATTATCCCAGTGTGAGAAAAGTTTATTTACAAATAGACTATTTACAAAGGTATAGGAGAGTTATAAGGGAATTGCAAGGAATAGTAAAATAATCTGAGACTAGTACCTCTCCCTTTCTCAGCTTCTATACTAGTTTAGGAGAAATACTTGGTTAGGAAGGGTACACGTAGAGTGTATTAATTAAAAATATTGATGTGGAGTCAGCCATTGTAAGACTAGTGCCGGTCTAGTTGCCACCTACAGCTGGAAAATATCACAAAGCAGTCTACAACATAACATTTAGCATTTCTTTATGTATATCTTCTACTTCACTTTACATTACCCTGCCCCTCTCAAGACTTCCAAATAACCTGAACCCAAATAGAGGACATGTCCTATATTTTTGTCTTATCCTGACCCTAAATCCAAAGACAGCATTTCATCACAGACAACTACAGTTATTCTTAAAGAATAATTCTATGTATAGCTATCTCTGAGTAACATCCTACTTATTTAAAAGGTCAGAAATCTAGATATTTCAATCTTCTGAAACACTACTGTAAAACAGGAAAAGAAACTATTTTTTAAAACTAGAGTAACTGAAATGCAATGCAGATAAGCAAATGGTTGTTGAAATGACCTTTTAGCAAAGGTACAAAGGATAACAATAGGTCAAAAAATAAGTATCTTTCTATGCAGTAGTATACACCCTGAAAGCTCCAAGCAAATGAATACTGTTAAATCATGCATAATTAGGATTAAGGATCCTGTCAGTTATTCACATTTTATGGGAGCCTGTAGTATTAACTTAGATTAAAGAATAATCCTTCTATTCTTTACTTCCTGGAGCCTGCTAGTAAAAATCCGATTTCTTTGACACAGCAAAATTACTCTATTTTCAGACATTCAAAAGTGACTAAAGTCACAAATTTCTTCAGAAGACTCATAAGTTACTAATTATTTACTCAGCTGAGTCAAAAAGTATCTTTAAATACTCACTGTATGCCAAGCAATTTCCAAAATGCTAGAGGTACACAGTCCACATCCTCAAGTAAACAAATTATGCAAAAAGTGTTACTCTCCCACTTTAAGTTTTCAATGTGGTTGAATACAAATGGCTAATAAACAGAAAATGGTACTCACATTATAAGAAATCAGAGAAATGTACATAAACTTAGTAGGAATATTCTATTATTTAACAAACAAATAAAAACTGTGAAACCACCAAGTGTTTGCAGGAGTGTAATTAACAGGTATTCTCAAACATAACTGGTAGGACTGTTAACTACAATCTCTGTGGACAAGATTTGGTTTTTCTTTTTTAATTCCCTTAACATAGCATTTTACTTGAAAAAATTTTAGAAATTGAATCATCTTTGTATACCTGGAGATAAACCTTACTTGGTTGGAATGTAGTTTTTTTAATACATAGATGAAATTACTTTGTTTTGATTTTATTTAGGAATTTAACATTTGTGTTTATAATTATCTTTTTTCTGTATTATCTTCATCTGATTTGGTACCAATGATAAACTAACCTCATTAAATATGTTGACTAGCTTCCTCTCCTTTTTTTCTCTCTAAAACAAACAATTACAGGTTGCTTAAAGATCTCAATGTGAAAAATAAAGCTACAAAACTTTTAGAAGACAATTAACTATGACTATAAGGTCTACTAAAACTTGCTAATAAAACATCTAACACGTGATCTAATACGTGTCTTTTTCATGGACTTTTGATATTTGACTTATTCCAAATTGTTATCTTCATTTTTATATTTCTACTTGTGACAATTGTATTAATTGTATTTTCTAAGAAATTACATATTACATTGAAATGTTCAAATTTACTGGAATAAGATGACATACTATTCTTTTGTTTATAAAACTCTACTATATAAATAGTTTTATCTCTTTTTACTTAATAATGTCTTATTTAGGTCTAACTTCATTGTTTTTCTTTACCAATATTGCCGGAGTCTGACTGTTTTACGACTATTTTTCCAAATACACACTAGATTTGCTGATCTTTTCTGAAGTTCTGTGGAGTTTTTTCTTGTTTTAGGAGGTTCTTCTATGAATTTATGTTAAAAATTTTTTCAGAAAAAAACAAATAAAGGCTAATAATAACCCTCTGCCTCCACCCCCACAAAAAAATCAATATAGTTAAGCCATATTGATATTAGACCAAAAAGATACTGGGCAGGGAGGCATTAGCAGAATATAGATTAAAAGGAGACATACATAATGATTAAAAAAAAAAAGTTGAACTTAACCCGGACATAATACTTCTACACATGTATACAGCTCAAATGTGTAAAGCTAAACTGACAGACACAAATGAAGAAACAAACTTATCTTCCTAAAGGGAGATTTTACTGTATCTCTCTCAGTAACTGATAGATAGCTCAAGAAGATCAAAAATACAAACAAATCATTATTTTTTTAATGTATTTGAGTAGCATACATGTAATACTCCACCTAAGAGTTGGAGAATATAATTTTCAAGCACATATTGAATCTCTACAAATTTTTAAAGCATGCAAGACATAAAACTAAGTCCCACAAAACTCTAAGTATTGAGAACATAAAAATAAAATTCTGTGAATACTGTGTAACTAATACAATTAAAAATCAATAAAGACCACCAGGGAAGCCCATGAGCTCCAAAATCCAAAAATAATTTTGAAGAAATTAATAAAATAGTTAGAAAGTAGTTAGAAAATATTCAGAATAAAAATACTACATGTCAAAACTTCTAGAATACAGCCTAAACTAGTATTTACTGGGAGAAAAATAGCCCGCAATATTTCCACTGAGAAAGAAGGGAGGCTGAAAATTAAGGTGCTAGACATACAACATAAAAGATCAGACCAAGAGAATAAAATCAAAATAGAAGAAAAAAACAAAAACATAAGGTGAAAAAAAAATTAATTTGAAAATAAGCATATAATAGAAAGGCCGAAGGATAATTCACTGAAAACAATAAAATAAAAACAAAAGAAAGTGTAAAAAAACTCAACATTGGAAATAAGAAACTGGACAAAACTACAGATGCTACTGATAGTAAACAGATAGTAACAGAATGTCATAAACAACTAAGAGTGATACATTTAAAAACATAGAAGTGAATAATTTCCAAATAGAGTAATTTTTTAAAAACTGAAAATATGAATTGTCCGACAAATAAAGTGAATCAATAGTTTAAAATCTTCCACATAGAAAACATGAGTCCTGAACACACTGACAAGCAAATTCAATCAAACATGTAAGAGTTAATTCCCACATTAAACCAAATTTTCCAAAAAATAAACAAAGAAGAGAAGCTACCCAACTCATTTTTCCTAACCTCATACCAAAAATACAGACAATGTAGCTCAGGATTATAGATGCAAAAAGTCAAAACAATTTATAAGTAAAATATAATATGATCAAGTTGGGCTTATACCAAGAATACAAGAAAACTA